GTTGGAAAACTCGCCAGTGGCCACAGGACGGGAAAAGGTCAGTTTTCATCCCAGTGCAGTGCCAAAGGATGCGCAACTGCTGCACACTTGCACTCCTCTCACGCATAGGCGAAGTAATGCTCAAAATTCTCTGAGTGAGGCTTCAGCAGTATGTGAACCGAGAACTTCCAGATGCTCAAGCTGGATTGAGAAAAGGCAGAGGAAGCAGATCAGATTGCCAGCATCCGTTGGATCATAGAAAAAGCAAGAGACTTCCAGAAGAACATCTTGTTTTATTGACTATGCCAAAGCCTCTGACTGTGTGGGCCACAACAAACTGTGGAAATGCTTTTTTTTAGTTCTACCGCTTTATTGCTACCACCCCATCTTCCTCCACCCTCGTGCACACGTGCTCAGTCATGTAACCCCACGGACTGCAGCCCGCCAGGCTCCTCTGTCCATGGACTTTTCCAGGCAAGAATACTGGAGTGGGTTGCCATTTCCTTCTCCAAACTGTGGAAAATTCTTAAAGAGATGGGAATACCAGACCACCTGACCTAACTCCTGAGAAATCTGTATGCAGGTCAAGAAACAACAGTTAGAACTGGACATGGAACAACAGACTGGTTCCAAACAGGGAAAGGAGTACGTCAGGGCTATATATTGTCACCCTGCTTATTTAACTTCTATGCAGAGTACATCATGAGTAATGCTGGGCTGGAGGGAGCACAAGCTGGAGTCAAGATTGTAGGAAATGAAGATCATCAGGAAATATCAGTAACCTCAGATACGCAGATGACACTGCCCTTAAGGCAGAAAGGGAAGAGGAACTAAAGAGCCTCTTGGTGACAGTGAAAGAGAGTGAAAAGGCGGGCTTAAAGTCAGTGTTCAAAAACCTAAGACCATGGCATCTGGTCCCAGCAGTTCATGCTTAATAGATGGGGACGCAGCGGCAACAGTGACAGACTTTATTTTTTGGGCTCCAAAATCACTGCAGATGGTGATTGCGGCCATGAAATTAAAAGACACTTGCTTCTTGGAAGAAAATCTATGACAAACCTAGACAGCATATTAAAAAGCAGAAACATTACTTTGTCAGCAAAGGTTCATTTAGTCAAAGCTATGGTTTTTCCAGTAAAAGCTATGGTTTTTCCAGTAGGCATGTAGGATTTGATTGTTGGACCATAAAGAAAGCTGAGTGCCGAAGAATTGATGCTTCGGAACTGTGGTGTTGGAGAAGACTCTTGAGAGGCCCTTGGACTGCAAGGAGATCAAGCCAGTCAGTCCTGGGAAATCAGTGCTGAATATTCATTGGAAGGACTGATGTTGGAGCTGAATCTGCAGTACTTTGGCCACCTGATGCGAAGAACTAACTCATCGGAAAAGACCCTGATCCTGGGGAAGACTGAAGGCAGGAGGAGAAGAGGACGACAGAGGATGAGATGGTTGGATGGCATCACTGATTCCATGGATGTGTTTGAGTGAACTCCAGTGATGGACAGGGAGGCCTGGCGTGCTGTGGTCCATGGGGTCACAAGTAGTAGGACGTGGCTAGCGACTGAACTGAACAGGCTCTTTCTGCTCTGGTCTGTGCTCTCCTTTGGGCCTTTGCATGGTGATGTGTTTTATGGTCCCCACTGAGCTCTTAGTCTCTGTTGCTTTTTCTTCATCTCTTTGTTCTTCAGAGTGGATGCTCACAGTTGACCTATCTGAGTTTGCTGATATGTCTCCTTTCTCAAGCCTGCTGTTTAATGAAACCTTCTAATGAACTTGTCATTTCAGATATTACACTTTTTTAGCTCCAGAATTTGATTCCTTTTATATAATTGCTATCTTTTTTTTGAGATTTCCTTTAGCTGTTTGAGCATATTTTGAAAAATCATGTTCTTTGTCTTATGTGGTCTGTCGTCAAGCTGTTTCCTTAAGCCTGTGCTCAGCTCATGGTCTGACAGATTTTCCTCACCTGGCTTGTGTAACTTTTTCTTACTTCGGGCTTTGCTTGGTTGCTGTAGACCTGTGACTGTATCACAGGGTTCTTACAGAGCTGATTCTGGCAGGTGGTGTGTCTGCATTCCTGATGAGGGGCACTTTTGCTATTGTCACTCTTTTGACAATGTTTTTTTAAAAAACATTACAGAGTTTTAGGTGATGTGTGGGTTACTCAATAAAACAGGCTGATGTGCTTTATTTGTAAGGATAAGCAGTTCTCATCAAATAGCCAGCGTTTGTCCCGTGGATAACATCACCGATATGAGAAGATGTGGGCACATTCTTTAATAATGAAGTAGAGAAGAGCTTTATTGAGTATAGGAGTTTATGGAATAGGTTTCAAGTCCACATTAGTATAGCTAGGTTGAATAAAAGAAATAATTTTCCCTTTATTATTTAATGTTGCAGTACTTTATAAAGGGTGCTGAGTTTCTCCCTTTGAAGAAATTTTCTTAAAAGCAGTGGTGATCTAGATGTAAAAGTCCTTGATTACTAGCCCAAGACAGGATTTTTAATTTGAGGTCTACTTAGATAATTTTGTGATCTTGAACAAGTTGAAGTTCCCACTGCTATTCATCTCTGCATTTCAAATGAATTTTATTTCATTACTTTGATATGGTCTCATTAAAACTTTCAAACCAGTATAGTTAAAACCAGAACAACTCCCAGTCATCACCTTGTTCTGCAGTAAAGGAAGCTAATTTCTCCTATCTTTTTAAATAAACACTTTCGCCTAAATATGGAAAGTTACATCATTTCCATTTTTAAAGTATTTTAAACAGGGGCCATAGTGAACCTCTGTGTGCCAGTTTCTTTCAGAGGGTAGATACTTTGAAGTGGGGCCAGTATTTATGTTTCTTATAATCTGTACAGAAGTGTTGTGATATATATAGATTGATATGTAGATAGGTAGACTTATACTGTGTGTATACACACATATATTTAGACATTTTATGGATGTGGGTTTTATAAGTGTGATCTTAGTTTTGTAGGATAAATTCCTAGTAGTTGAATTTAATGTGAAAAAGACTATGCCAAAGCCTTTGACTGTGTGGATCGTAATAAACTGGAAAATTCTGAAAGAGATGGGAATACCAGACCACCTGACCTGCCTCTTGAGAAAACTGTATACAGGTCAGGAAGCAATGGTTAGAACTGGACATGGAACAATAGATTGGTTCCAAATAGGAAAAGGAGTACGTCAAGGCTGTATATTGTCACCCTGCTTATTTAACTTATATGCAGAGTACATCATGAGAAATGATGGGCTGGAGGAAGCACAAGCTGGAATCAAAATTACCAGGAGAAATATCAATAACCTGAGATATGCAGATGACACCACCGTTATGGCAGAAAGTGAAGAAGAACTAAAGAGCCTCTTGATCAAACTGAAAGAAGAGAGTTGGCTTAAAGCTCAACATTCAGAAAACTAAGATCATGTCATCCAGTCCCATTACTTCATGGCAAATAGATGGGGAAATAGTGACTGACTTTTTCTGGGCTCCAAAATCATTGTAGATGGTGATTGCAGCCATGAAATGAAAAGACACTTATTCCTTGGAAGCATAGTAATGACCAACTTAGACAGCATATTAAAAAGCAGAGACATTACTTTGTCAGCAAAGGTCCGTCTAGTCAAAGCTATGGTTTATCCAGTTGTCATGTATGGATGTGAGAGTTGGACTATAAAGAAAGCTGAGTGCCAAAGAACTGATGCTTTTGAACTGTGGTTTTGGAGAAGACTCTTGAGAGTCCCTTGGAATGCAAGGAGATCCAGCCAGTCCATCCTAAAGGAGATTAGTGTTGCGTGTTCATTGAAGGGACTGATGTTGAAGCTGAAACTCCAATACTTTGGCCACATGATGTGGCGAGCTGACTGATGTGAAAAGACCCTGATGCTGGGAAAGATTGAGGGCAGGAGGAGAAGGGGACGACAGGATGAAATGGTTTGATGGCATCACCGACACAATGGACATGGATTTGGGTGGACTCTGGGAGTTGGTGATGGACAGGGAGGCCTGGCATGCTGCAGTCCATGGGGTTGCAAAGAGTCGGAGACGACTGAGCGACTAAACTGCGTATGTACTTAAAGTTTTGATAGATATTGCCAAATTGTCCATTATAGAAAGGTTTTACTGATGCACACAGTTAATCTCTGTCCAGTGTTCCCTGTTTTACCACAACCTTGCCAGTGCAGTGTGTTGGCAAACGTTTGGATTGTTGCCAGTATTCTAAGGGAACACTACTATGGCACTGTTGGTTTCATTGGAGTCTCTCTTGTTCTGAGTGGATTGAGCTTTGTTGTCATTGTTTTTGTTTGTTCACACATTTTGTTCACACGTTTGAAAACCATTTTTATTGAGTTGCTGTCTTTCTGTTAGGCTGTTAGACTTTGTTTATAGCGGAATTTGCCATGCCAAAACCTTTTTAGGTTTATACAGTTGGATGTATTAGTTTTAAGACCTAAAATCTGTGCTGTTCTTAGAAAGGACTTTTCCAGTCTGAGATTATTGAAAGGATCTTCCATGGTCAGATAGACTCACTTTTAATATACTAAGTAAAACTGAATAGATGCAAGGGAAGGCAGGGGAATTTCTCTTGATGGAATTGCTCTTACTTGCAACAGCACTTACTTGCAGCATTGTTCAATTATTAAATTGTCTAGAACTGTATGCTTCTTTCTTGCTCATGCCTCTGTAGATCTGGTCATCTTTTGGCGACCACTCTCTTCTGTCTTAGATCTAACAGTTAAAGAATAAAAGGTTAGATCTTAGGTATATTTCTCTTAGCATTTCATTTTTTAGTATATATGTAAACTATAAATATAAAATTGCTGCTTTGCAACCTACAAAGCTGTTTCTTTAGACTGATTACAGTAAGGATAAGTTTTTATCAGATTTTCCCCTCATCTTCTATTATATCAGTAAAATTCTGTCCCCGGGTGGTAGGGGTGGATATTATCTTTAGAGATACACAGAGATGATTATTGGTCAACTGCAAACTCTAAAAGAATGGTTTGTGTTTTCCTCTAGATCCCAAGGAAGAGAAAGAGGAGGAAGAGTCTGCCCTCGCTCATGAAGCTCCCGCCGCAGCAGCTCGGCCTAGTCGGGGCTGGCGCGGCAGCAGCCGCACGTCCGTCTCTCGGCATCGCGAAGCAGAGAACACCCGCAGCTCTCGGTCCAAGACTGGTTCACTGCAGCTCATCTGCAAGTCAGAGCCAAATACAGATCAGCTCGATTGTGGTACAGTGCCAGTAGAGTCTGATTATTCAATCGCCAGTTGCCTGTTGATTTCTATGTGATCTTGAACAGTTACCAGAACAGCCTGACTTTTAGGGTCACGTGTGGTATTATAGGAAGGATCCTTTTTGATAGTTTACGGAGAATTCTCCATTGGTGTAATGACCCTAAACTGTATTTTGGTTTGAGTCTCTTGGCTGCAGAGAGAAAATATCTATACCTTCATACCAAAAGTTCTGTCTCATACCTTTCCTAGATGCTGCAGAAGAGCATCAGTCTCCAGGAGGCGTTAGGTAAGAACCCTTGCAATGTCTCATAGTCTCAACCCTTGGGGTGCAAAGGGGGTGAAGACCAGTCAGTCAGGCCGCATGACTCAGATGTTTTCTACCTGAGATACCTGAGTCAGCTGTTTTTAACTCTTAGTGTCACTGAGCCATCTTTGCCTTGCCTTTGTTTAGTGAAATTAGAGCATATCTAGGATTTTTGTGTTTTTAGTTCCAGTTATTATTCTTTGGGGGAAAGCAGCTAGGTTGCAGTCCAGCTAGATTATTAGAGAATGAAGATCCTAGATAACGCTGTGAATCTTTGGCTGTGTCTAGGTAAATTGCTGAATAAAATCAGTGAGATATGATTTATAACAGCTGGGATTTCTAATCTCTGTTGGCTTCTTTCCAGCAGTGATGAAGAAGAGGAGGAGGAAGAAGAGATGTTGATCAGTGAAGAAGAAATACCGTTCAAAGATGATCCAAGAGATGAGACCTACAAACCCCACTTAGAAAGGCATGTCTCGGGTTTGTTGGTGAAAACTAAGTTAGGAAAACATTTTGGCGTGTTTTTATTTCACCTTGTTGCCAAACTAATGGATATGGACTTAATTTTTAAAGGAGTAATTTTGCACTTGTTTTACAAACCTAGCATTATCCTATTGCTCCCTGCTACAGCACGCTTTTCCATTTATAGAACTTTGTGTTGCTCATAATCCAAATTATTTTGACATATGCCTGTTTTAAGATGTTAGAATTTTTTACTTTTGTTTTTCTTCACATCTATAGTGAGATTTGATTCTAAGGCTTTGTTAGCTTGGGGCTGGGGGTCATCTCATTGGCTTTAAATATGTGTATGGTTACTGTCCGTATGACGAATAGTGGCTGGAAACCACATTTCGTGTACTGAGGAGCATAATTTCATAATAAATCAGCGATAACTCCAGGCTTTACCCTTCTGTCACAGGTGTTCTTGAAAAGGTCCTTTGCTGGATACCAGTGTTGAAATGTGTTTGTATTTTCAGGGAAGCCCCAAAGCCACGGAGAAAATCAGGGAAGGTGAAAGAAGAGAAAGAGAAGAAAGAAATAAAAGTGGAAGTCGAGGTGGAGGTGAAAGAAGAAGAGAATGAAATTAGGGACGACGAGGAGCCTCCTAGGAAGTGAGTAGGCAGTTACTACCAGAAATGGAAGCTTAACAGATTTTCACGTCACCAGTGGAAAAAAGGGTAGGAGTGTCAGGAGAGATGCTGACAGGTATGTATTGTTGTCCCAGCAGCTGACAGTGTGACTGGAAAGACTTCTCTCAAAAGCTTGGAAAGTTTCATTCGCAGCAGTGCTTAAAGATGTTCCACTGAGTATGGTAGGACAATGGCTGTAGGGACGCAGAGAGGAGAGTAAAAATAGCAAAAAAAAATATGGCAAATAAGGCACATGATGTAATGACTTTGATCAGGTAAAAGCTCATGCCCAGCAGTTCCTGGTGCAGAGAGAGCTTTTTTAAGTGTGTAGGCTTTTGTCTCTGTTACAAGGAGAATGTATCCTTTATATTCTTATGGCTTTTAGATAATAGACTAATTTCTTCTACTTTTTCAGTTAACTTGTGGTGCGGTCTTACTTATAAGTAAAGTTGCTTCAGAGTGAAATCTGTGGTTTTGCCGGATTTGTCTTTGGCTTCATGTATTCTGGGTTACCCGTCGTTTCTGCCACCAGCTTTTTGGTCTTGAGTGTATGTCCTCAGTTAATCTTTACCGTATAAGCTTCAGTCTCGACTGTGTGGACAGTTAACTCTGTTCTTTAATTACAGGAGAGGAAGAAGGCGAAAAGATGACAAAAGCCCACGATTACCCAAAAGGAGGTGAGTAATTTATAGTCATGCAGGGTTGTGCTTTCTTTCTGGTGGTGGGCCCTTCACTTATACGTTAAGCCCTTATGACTATCCTGCGGGAATGATGAGTTAAGAGTTTCACAAAAGGAGTTCCATTGGTGTCCTTGATGCAGAGCTACTATGTTTTAATTTCCATTGCAGGATCTTAAAATTTCTAAAAAGTTTTAACACTTCTTTGCCTTTGGGGGGTTACTGGTTTATTTTGTGCTCTTTTAAAAACACTATAAACATTTGGCAGTTTCTGGTTATTTCTAACATAAATTCTGTGCAAGCCATAAACTAGTAAAAAAGCGTTTTAATTCTTCATGCTACCGAATAGCTCTCCCTATGGTGCAGCTGCAGTTAGGCCGGTGTGCACGCCGCCTCCCTGCTGCTGACTCCTCTCTCCGTGTTGTCGCTAGAAAGAAGCCCCCCATCCAGTACGTCCGCTGTGAGATGGAAGGCTGCGGCACCGTGCTCGCCCACCCACGCTACCTGCAGGTCAGCGGGCTTCCGGGGGCGCGGGCGCTGCCCGCCGCCAGTGCTCGTGCTTGCTGAGGCTTTCTGGTTTGTGAGCTGGTGGAGGATTCATCACTACATGTCTGATCTCAACGACAGTCATTTATTAAACATCCAATTACTTCAGTTGGGCTCTTGGTGTTTTAAGTGATTAAGAACCTGAACGTAAATGTTTCCTTGGAATCTTGGGATATTCCAGTGTTTCTCATGGTGTAAATGCATCTGATATAATAGATGATTGTGTGATAACACACCAAGACACAGTTAAAAAGGTTTTGTTTTTAGCGATTATTAAATAATAAGGTTAACAACCAAAACCTATGATTTCTTGATTACTATTTTGAATAAATTTTTAGTTTGAGGTTTTTAAGTGAGTAGATTTTTTTTTTTTAATGAAAAAGGATACAGCTTGTTTTTAGGCCTGGCAGAAGACATGAAATATTAATTACTAAAGCTAGTGTTTGATCTTTAGCAGCGAGTACAACATATGATTAAGGCCTTAGGCCCTGATTCTGGTTCTGTTATAATGATGGCTATGATTCTTTGGTCATGTACCATTTGCTACACTAAGCACTGTACAATACACGATCTCTATTCCCACAACAGTCTGACACAGTTGGCATCATCTCCATTTTACAGATGAGAACTGAAGCTCGCAGTGTTGAAGTGTGTCTTCCAGGATCACACTGCTCGCGAGCAACAGAGCCAGGAGCTTAAGCACTTTATGACGGTGCTCCCTGTTGACATACAGAGGATTTGGTTTTCCTTCAGTACTTTTGACTTTGCAGAGGAATGAGCTTAGCTTTCTGGAAGCCCTCATTTTTATCTTTTCACTTTGTTTTACCGCTTTAGCATCACATTAAATACCAGCATTTGCTGAAGAAGAAATATGTCTGTCCCCATCCGTCCTGTGGACGACTCTTCAGGCTCCAGAAGCAACTTCTTCGACATGCCAAACATCATACAGGTACTTTATTAAAATGTTTATCAAGTAGCTAAATGCACTGTTGAATGTGTAATTTGGTAACCATTTTTTCTAACCTACCCATCTGTCATACCAAGTTTGTTTCTAGTGCTCTTTGTTTTACAGCCAAGAAACCAGAGGCTGAGCAACATTAGGTAACTTGCCAGTGGTTATTCAGCTAATTTTGGAAGAAAACTAATAATTTTGGGGGTGGTTTCTAATTCTGCTTGAATTAGATGGACACTTGTAGTAACTACCTGGACTGGAGATGAGGAGTGTGTAGAGGAAGCCTTGATGGTAAGGAGGCTTGCTTACAGTTTTTATTGCCTGCTAAAAGTCTCCTGGGACTTGTGCTGCTGTTGGAGGCACAAAGGCTAGCTGTCGAGCCCACATATAACCTGTGGGGCTTCCCAGGTGGTGCAGCACGGGAGACTCAGGCTCAGTATCTGGGTCAGGGAGATTCCCTGGAGCAGGCACTGGCAGCCCACTGCAGTGTTCTTGCTTGGAAAATCTCACGGATGGAGGATCCTGGCAGACTGCAGCCCGTGGGGTCATGAAGAGACTTTGCACGCACATAACCTCTACAGTAGGAGCTGTTGACTGGAAAAGAGAAATTGAATGCCTTTGTGATACCTGTTGTCGAGTGAGTTCAGACAGCGTCCATTTTCAGCCGCTTGACAGTTGGCGCAGTGCAGCTAATGGGGACGGATTGGGCTGGGCAAGGTTAGTGATGACACCAGTGACACTGCGCCATTACCCGGATGGACTGCGGTCATGTGTCACATGTTGTGTCCTGCAGAGAGCCAGGCGCCCCATAGCCTCAGCGCTGGGCTTCACCCTGAGGTCTGCTCACTCCACAGGCTGCAGTCTGCATTCCGCTGTGTTTCTTCAGGGAGAATGCCATTTCCACTTTTTCTCTAAAGGAGCTGCTGTTTCTCTGCTGCTTCTCCCTGTTACACTGCCTCATTCTACAACCAGTTTAGACTACTTTAGGTAGATTTTATAAGCCAACTATGACAAACACTGTTTTAGAAATTAAGTCCATTCCAAATACTAGTATTTAGTTAATAGAATTTTATGATGTCAGTGTTAGAGAGTTTTACTTTTCCAAATGAGTGTGAATTGGCGTCCTTTGAAAATATAATTTCCTTAAGTATGTGAAACGCTTCACATGTGTCCGTCATGCTCCCATGGAGCTGGGAATGTGGCCCAGACCTGAGGGATGGTAAGCCTTGTCCCTGGGTTAGGAGTGTGCCTTTCAGACCATACTGTTCATGAGGAATGCAGACGGACAGGCCTGGCGTCATGAGCTCCCTGCTAGAGGTGGCGCGTCTCAGGCCCCGCCTAGACCTGCGTCCGCCTCCAGGTCTCCTAGGGCCCCCAGGTGCTGCCGTGCATTCAGGTGGGAGAGACATGGCTCTTCTCCCACACTTGCTTTTAGAACTGTTTGGGATGGAGGGTAGGATTACATTGGATGTTGTTTCTTCTTGTGTTTTCACTGTGTTTCTAGTCATTTTAAGTGAAAGGCATACAAAGAGTGTAGTGGCCATTTGTTCAACAAGTATACATTGAGCATCTGTTGGTCCAGTTGGTGAAGAAGAAAATAAGTCCAGGGCTCCTTTGCCCCGTAGGACTTTTTGAGAGAAGTTTAAATTGTTTATCTTGGGTAACGTTTTTTTTTTGAAACCTGAAACAAGATATGAGTACCACTTTGTATATGGATCAGTTTTCTTTAGGTGACGTCACATTCTTTTTTAATGTTGGTTGAACGCCAGCTTCTTCCTATGTAACCGTTCAGCTTTCACAGTTGGTGAGAAAGCTGTTTCAAGAATAAACGCTATGAGAATATAATTGTTTACTTGTTAAGCAATTTATCCTGCATCTGACTTACTGGTAAAACTGAGATTAGGATTCCAGTTCTCATATTTCTCTCCAGCTGTGTTTTTTATTTTTGTTAATGTAAACAGGTTCTTATGTTAATGACTAGACGGAAAAACAAAAGATGAAAATGACACTTTGCTTTTCTGGGTGTGCTCTGCAGTCTGCAGGATTTTAGTTGCTCCACCAGGAACTGCTCTTGGCCAAGAAACTGTGGAGTCCTAAACCACTGGACTGCCGGGGAATTCCCTTGTGCTGTTTATTTTTAAGTTTCGGTTATCCAGAGTGCTTATATTCTACATTGCTTTTACTCTAAATTCACCTGCCTGATTATCTGCTTGCTTTTTGTAAGCTAGGAAAAAATACTTAAGAGGGATCCAAATGGAACACCAACTAATCACATATTTTTCTTAGATCAAAGAGATTATATCTGTGAATATTGTGCTCGAGCCTTCAAGAGTTCCCACAACCTGGCAGTGCATCGGATGATTCACACCGGCGAGAAGCCGCTCCAGTGAGTGCTCGTTCCTGGGGCACCCGGGAGAGGCGGGCCCGCGCCCCGCTGGAGGCCCAGCCCCTCTCTTGGCGCTCCAGCCCGAGAACCGTGGCTTTTCCCCAGTGTGAGGGCGGGCATGACTGGCAGGGCTAGCACCCAGGGACCTGATTTGATGACTGAGTCGTTTGTAAGTGCGGCCCTGACCCTAGGTAAGAGGGCACTTCCTTTCTGTCTTTGATCAGCTGTTTCCTTTCTCCCTCTCCTTAGATGCGAGATCTGTGGATTTACTTGTCGGCAAAAGGCATCCCTTAACTGGCACATGAAGAAACACGATGCAGACTCCTTCTACCAATTTTCTTGCAATATCTGCGGCAAAAAGTTTGAGAAGAAGGACAGTGTGGTGGCGCACAAAGCGAAGAGCCACCCTGAGGTGCTGATCGCCGAGGCCCTGGCCGCCAACGCCGGCGCGCTCATCACCAGCACAGACATCCTGGGCACCAACCCCGAGGCCCTGAGCCCGCCCGCCGATGGCCAGGGCCTGCCACTGCTTCCCGAGCCCCTGGGGACCCCCGCCCCCGGAGAGTGCCTGCTGCTGGAAGCGGAGGGCGTATCCAAGTCCTTTTGCGGCGGGCCCGAACGGGTGAGCCTGGTGGCCGACGGCAAGCTCTTCGTGGGCGGCGGGGGCGGCGCGGGCGCAGACGGGCTGGTCATGAACTCGGACATCCTCGGTGCTACCGCAGAGGTCCTGATCGAGGACTCGGACTCTGCGGGGCCGTAGCCAGGGGCGGACCGGGCGCTGGGACGGCTCAGACTTTGTATTTAAAAGACAAAAAGGACAAAAAAAAAATTTAAAGCATTTAAAAATCTAGTGAAATAACTGAAGGGCCTGCTCTTTCCATTGGGTCACAGCACACACACACACACACACACACCCATTCCCCTCTTCTCCCTCTGTCATCCCCTTTATAAAATTGGCATTGCCTTTCCCAGAAAGCTTGACAAAGAAGCCGCTGCAGCAGCTCTTAAAGGAAGGGTTCTTTTTAAACTCATTTCCAGCCGGGCAGACTTCCTGCCCATCAGCAGACCCCATGCCCCTTTCTCCCTGCAACTTGGACGTGCTCTGGATCAGCTTTTAGCTCTTCATAATATACTGATATCCTCTCAGCCCCTTCTCCTTGCCCGCTGCCCCGTGGTTCTGGCTTCTACCCTTGTAGCACATGCATCTTCCAAGGATCATACACTTCTAATCTCCGGAGGCTGGCAGCTTGACTTGGCACTTTAGGGCCCCTGAGCAGCGTGAGCTGTTAAAACAGCACACATCTCACCCCCTCTCCCTCCACTCCCCCTGGGTGAAGGAAGGCAGGCAGGCTGCGTGGGGACCACCTCCCTCCTCTTGACCTTCTCCGCCTTCCTCGCCCGCCCCCAGCTCCTCTGTAAGGTTCTCAATGGTGCTCACTCGTTTGCAAGCAGGCTCCCGGCCAGGAGGGGCCGCTAGCCACGTGGTCTCTGACCATAGACAGGGCTCCATTGGTGAGAAGCCCCAGACTAGTGACAGAATTTGCACTTTGAACATGTGTGTTTTTGTGTTGTGGAACCTGAGATTCCTTATTTATTAACGGAAAGTCGGATTTTTTTTTTTGTCTTTGTTGCTATATTTTGTGGGGCTGGGCAAGATTACATTATTCTGACGTTGGGTCCTTTGCATAAGAGGTACTTGTAGAAGGCAAGATAGAGGGTTGAAGAAGCACAGCCAGCCCCTGAAATCATAGCGCTCCAGTGGCCTTTCCAAAAAGCTGGTCCTCAGCACTAACAGAATCACTACAGTGCTTTTCTGGAAGCCTCTTCAGGAAAGGACGGTGGGGGTGTCGTAACTAGCACTGCTGGAGCTTGCAGAGCATCGCGGTTCAGGAATTTTGAGGGGATGAAGGAGGTTATTCAGGGTCTGAACTAGAGATGCAAGGTTTCCTCTTGAGAGTCCTTCATTTTCTTCTTTGTCCCCGCCATTTCTCTGTACGTGCTGCCTGTAGCCCAGCTCCGGCCCCTTTGTCTTTTGTTTCCTCATGGGTTCGTCCCAGCTCCCAGCTGGTGAAGGGCACTGCCGTCAGAGGAGGAATCGTCTGAGTCAGACGGTTTAAGTCAAAGGAAATCGTTCTGTTCTGCTTCCCTTGTAATAACACTTCAGAAGAAGAAAGTCTTCAGCGCAGTTCATAACCTGTACACTGCTTCGGCTCTCACCTGAAATTCCAGGAATTACCGTTGCCCTTGAGGGATTTTCATGGGCTGGATCGCTGACTGCTGTCCATGGGAGATGACAGCTTTGTGCACCTTCACAACTTCCAGAAGACTAAAAACCTACTTTGGCTCATTTTTAGAGAACCGGAAGGGCAGTTTCTATCCTACATACCTCAGAAACTGGAATTAAAGGCTTGCCCTGTTCATTGTTTGTTAGAAATGTATAACAGCTGTTGGAAAGAATGGAGCTTTGCTGAGAACAGAATAAGGAACAGCTTGTTTTTCACAAACACTAAAACTACAAAGTTTATCAGTTTTCTCTCTCATTCTCCCCCCCCCCCCCCGCCCCAAAAAGAAGGGTAACAAAATGTCATCTCTGAAAGAGGCTTGCTCTCCACCCACTGGTGTGAGTGTTGGAATGCCAGGGGGTAGGGAGGGAAGCGTCTGCAGTGAGAGTCTTAGGTTTGTGTTCCCTGTGGAGGCTTTGCAGTCGCCTCCAGGGCGGGGCAGAGAGGAGTAAGGATGGGAGGAATATGAATGTCCTTTCCTGGCCACACTGAGGACTTGGAGTTGACTTTGGTGTGTTGAGTAGATGTGAGACTACTATAAGATTAATCGGATGGGTCTACAACGAAGTTCTTTTCCCATATAAGTCCATTGGTTCACTAGCAGGCGTCTATACCCGCCACTTCTTGTCATTGTCACGTTTATCTTATCCTTGTTCTCCATGAATTACATTTGCAGCAGTTAGTCATCGAATGTTTTAGCCACCTACACAAAAGCAAGCTGCATTTTTAAAAGAAAACTTGAAGACAGAGGGAAAATATTTTCTTCCCTTTATCACACTCCTCCCCACCAAAAGCAACTCATCAGTCCTCATGATTTGATGCTCCCCTTTTCACTCTTCATAGCTACCATTTCCCTGTAATTTGCTTCAATAAATTATTGTAGCAGATTGCGGTGAATTTTCAGGTATTTTTCATGGATTTAGTTTTTTTTTCCCCCTTTTGAGAGAGGGATGCCAGCAAAGGAAAGAGGTATTTTAAGTAAACTCACCAGTTTCTCTTCCCTTTAACTTTCTGCTCCTGAGATACCTACATCACTGTCTTCTAAGGAACTCAGTGTTAACATTCTCCATTTCCTACTCTTAATCAAATTCTGCTACATTTTAATACCTTTTTCCCACAGCACGTTCTCCATCTTTATTGGGCGGTTCTGGATTCTGAAAACAAGCGTTGTTTCTCCAAGGCGTGCTTTCCCCTTGCCTGTGGTAGCCCGGGGTTATTTTGCATAACTGAGACTTAATATGTTTCAGAGAATTTAGATAAACACTGGCCAGGATGACTGGGAGTAAAAAATAGATATGGAAAAGCACCCACATAGAGCACTTGAACCTCCTTAGAACCTGTTTGGAGAAAAAATATAGAGTGTACTAAACCTCACTAAGGTTATTATGGTCAGGCTGTTTGAAGCACCATCTTTCCCTCCTGCCTTTTTCCCACCTTCCAGTGTACTCAAGAAAATTGAAAAATTGTAATGAATCAATTTAAAATATTTTATTTCCTAAAAGCCTTTTTTGCCTGTTGTAATATGCAGGACCCTTCTCCTTTGATGGGAGAGAGACAGGTAGTTACCTGAATCTAGGTCGAAAAGGTTATGTAAAAAGAAATTATAATAAAAGGGATACTCTGCTTTTCAAATCCTTGTTTTCTCTTAATCTAGCTAAGGCATATCCAAAATAAAATGTAAAGAAGGAAAATAAAAATTGTCTTCATGGAAGCAACTGGTCTTCCTTGGTTGTACTGAGTTATAGTTACGCTGGGGTGAAATGATGGATGCTGCTCGGTGAGAAAACCAGGTGCCCTCAGAGCAGCTTTATGTGGCAGAAACTGGTGTTTGCACTTGTTGAGAATCAGGTAGTTAACTTTTGACTCTGTTTAGTTCTTGATTTCTAATACTGAGATGCCATTCTGATCATTTGGCAGAGTTGGAAATCTTTTCCATGTCTTGACGATCTGGAAAGGGTGGCCATCTTAATGTAGTAACGGAAGCTATGGGGTTAATTTCACTCTGATAATGACAAAACCCTGATAGCATTTAATATTGGTGCTTCTTCACAAAACTCAATGTCCGTGAAAGTAGAGAGTTTAAAAAAAAGACAGACTCCTGCTGCCTTCCTTAAAGGCCTGCTGTGTCAGCCACCCCTGCCCATTTCTTCACCCCTGTGTCCCTGGATCATTGTGGGAATTTTGCCCTGAGAAGGCATGGGTTTCAGTTCACAGGTAGTGTCTGTGATAAAATAGTGAGAGCTGCTTGATTCATCTGGGGATGAAACATGCGACTCTTAACCCAGTTGGCATCACCCTCGAACCTACAGTTAACATGCGCTAGAGCGGCGCTAGCAGTAGGCAGTTTTAAATTCTGCCTTTGCTTTGCAGTCCAGCTCATTCTCTTACTTTGGTAAGAAGCACTGTGGTATGACTGGGATAAGGAAGGAGGAGAGAAGCCTGTTGTCACTTGAGAGAGACTGCCTCAGAAATGTTACCAAGTCAGGGTTGGGTGTTTCCCCTGCTTTGAAAGAGAACAGGCCTGAACAGTCCCTGCCTCATCCTGGAAGCTACAAGGGAGGCACCATGACTGAGATGATAGAGGTGCCCTCTTAGCTGACTTGTAATCAAGTGCAAATTCAGTTTCAAACACAGCGAAAGGATGGGAACGGGGGCAGGTGCTGTATTTTTACAGGGTCTATCTCATGTAAACTTGGTGTCTTGAACAGAATGTGAACCACCCAAAGAATGAAATTGGAAAGTCACTGGGAGAAACAGCTGTAGAATCAAAGACCTATATTTAAATTTTGAACCTAGTTACTGGATTTTGTGCACATTAAGTAACTTCTTTAAGCCTGCATTTCATATACAAATTGAAGAAAACTATTTATCTTGTAGAATTATTCTAAAGATCAAATAAAGGCTTTGAAGCAGTTAACAGTGTCTGGCCCAGGGTAGATGCTTAACAAATGGCAGCCGTATCAGTAATTATAACAGTATTATTGTATCCCAGGCCAAAGAAGAGAAAGAAGGGCCCGGGGAGCACGGGGCGGGTGGTGACAAGATGAACTGATCGTACGTGTGTGTGAGATAGGTCGCGTTAGGTAGGGGCGTCCTGAGAGTGAGTGTGACAGCGACCTCGTTGCTAAGTGCAAAAGCAAAACAGTGGCGTGCAAACACGTGCCCAAGGCACTGAGGAGGAGCGGGATGGAGGCAGCCACCGCAGGACAAGAAGCTGGTTGAGAAGGGGCCTTTGATTCCACAGGCGCAGAAATCCACAGCCAGGAATTCGCTGCCACCTCTGAGTCAGGCTGGGGGTGGGGGTGCACAGTCCCGTTAGGAGAGAGATGCCCAGTGCATTTGGCCCGAGAGGCACATTTCTGATTGGGACCAGTGTAGACAGACCCAGCTCCCTTGTTTGCTGGGCCCGGCTGCTGAGTTAGGGGATGGCTTCTGCGGAGCATTCGCTGCTCCCCCCTCACCGCCGGGACCTGTGTAGCCGCTCCATCTGGCTAGCAAGGAAGATCCGTTCAGACCTGACTGCTCTGGTGGACTCTTACGTAAGTTGCCGACCTTGCTGGTGTCTATTTTCACTTCTCTTCTAACCCCACCCTTCACCATCATATTTCTGCCCTGTTACTGGTTCAAAAGCCCTAATTGTGCAGTCATTTTATACACTGGGTGCCTGTTGTTTGACATGGCCCTTTCCCTAAAGAAAAGTCCTAAGACCTTTTTTTCTATACGCTATTTAGGAAACATGTTTTTAAAATATGGAAGTGTACTTGGGGTTCTAGGTAGAATTGTCTGTATGTTCTGGAGGCTGTTCCTAATTTGAATATCTGTCTGAATTCTGACAGAGTAGATGAACCATGAGCCCTCCCATGTTTGGGTTCTTCATATATATATGGTGTTCTGACTTTTTAAACTACGTAAATAAAAGTCTGAGTGAGGTGTATAGAACTGGGTGAAGAGCAGTATAAACCAACCAGTTTTTCCTATTATAGTATTAGGACCCTATACAGTCAGAAGTGTTTGTGTGTCTAAATAGAAAGGTCACCTATTAAAAAAAAGTCTCCTGGAAGAATCCCTGGGGAACTGGGAAAGTGTCCGATTCTTAAGGAGCTAACCATGGAGTTAGGTATGTTTTCTGTAGGAGGATTCCTATCAGTCTTTGCCTAGGGCCTGCTGTGGGAACACTGCAGGCTCCCGTGGAAGGTTCTGAATTTAGGTTCTTGGAGGGTTGATTTATCTTCCTAAAGCTCCAGCATTCAGAAATCAGACTTTCAAATACAAATTAAATATATATATATATATTGCTATTGACCTCTAATAAATGTCCTCACCAGTTCGAGTGGACAGTGGAGAGGGCTGTTAGAACAGTTCCGTCAAGGCTGTGTTTTAGAGCTGCTTAGGTATGGCCAGTGTCTTTAGGTATATTTACAATACTTAAACTCCAGTATGACTGTAAAATTTAGGTGCCAGCAGGGAGTGTCAGGTGGGCAGGAAAAACTATTCTAGACCAGGCAGTGGTTTTCAGCCTTTGGAACCTAGCAAAAGCTGCAGATTCTCGCAAGAAAAGTGAACAGATAGTCCAAATGGTGTGTATAAATTCTGGGACAATAGGGTCTTCCTAAGGCCAGTCTTCCCAAAGGAAGAATTCCTCTTCTAGATTATTTTCTTTACAGTCGGGACCCTTGGCCAGGGAAGTGAGTAGACTGTGTGACTTATGAAGTGAGGACGGTGGCGTGACTGCAGGAGGGCTGACGTTTCTCTGTATCCTCGGCCAGATGAAGCATCAGGGTCTGAACGGGAACGTGAACCTGGACCCTCTGGAAGGCGTGCCGACGGCCAGCTCCCACAGATGGAGCGAGCTGACTGAGGCGGAGCGGCTGCAGGAGAACCTCCAGGCCTACCGCGCCTTCCACGGGATGCTGGCCCGGCTGCTGGAAGAGCAGCGGGCGCACTTCACCCCAGCCGAAGACGACTTCCACCAGGCGATACACACGGTCCTCCTGCAGGTGGCAGCCTTCGCGCACCAGCTGGAAGAGCTGATGGCGCTGCTGGAGCAGCGGGTGCCCCCCAGGGAGGCTGGCGGGCCGCCCCCCCTCACTGGGGAGGCTGGGCTCTTTGAGAAGAAGCTGTGGGGCCTGAAGGTGCTGCAAGAGCTTTCTCAGTGGACGGTGAGGTCCGTGCACGACCTGCGGGCCATCTCTCGACAAAGTGGGGTCCCCGTACGTGGGAGCCATCCTGCCACCAAGGACAAGAGAACGTAGCGGTTACGCTTCCACTCCCTCCCACTCACTTTCTCTCCTGACGGAATAGACTGTTCTCCGAGGCCTTGGTTCCCCAGCCTTGGTTTTGAAAACCTCTAAAACCGCAGGCATTTTCACAGAGTTGGAGATATGGACAGATGGGCATACAGGTTTATTCTGGGTGTGTGTGTGTGTGTGTGCGCGTGTGCCATAAAGGAATGATGGGCATACAGGTTTATTCTGGGGGGTGCGTGTGTGTGTGCGTGCGTGTGCCATAAAGAAATGATGGACGTACAGGTTTATTCTGGGTGTGTGTGTGTGTGTGTGTGTGTGTGTCCGCGCGTGTGTGCGTGCGTGTGCCATAAAGGAATGATGGACATACAGGTTTATTCTGGGGGGTGCGTGTGTGTGTGCGTGCGTGTGCCATAAAGGAATGATGGGCATACAGGTTTATTCTGGGTGTGTGTGTGTGTGTGTGTGTGTCTGTCCGCGCGTGTGTGCGTGCGTGTGCCATAAAGGAATGATGGGCATACAGGTTTATTCTGGGGGGTGCGTGTGTGTGTGCGTGCGTGTGCCATAAAGGAATGATGGACATACAGGTTTATTCTGGGGGGTGCGTGTGTGTGTGCGTGCGTGTGCCATAAAGGAATGATGGGCATACAGGTTTATTCTGGGTGTGTGTGTGTGTGTGTGTCCACGCGTGTGAGTGTGCGCATGCCATAAAGGAATGATGGGCATACAGGTTTATTCTGGGGGGTGCGTGTGTGTGTGTGTGCGCGTGTGCCATAAAGGAATGATGGACATACAGGTTTATTCTGGGGGCGGGGGTGTGCATGCGTGTGTGCGCGCATGCGCGCGCGTGCAATAAAGGAACGCGGGCAGGAGCAACACCCCCCCAGCGCAGTGCTCTCATCTCTCCTAGCCACTCGACAGCTTCTGCAGGCATGTCACAGCCTCGCTGATAAATAGACTTTTTAACTCCAGTCGTGGATGACTCTTCTGAGAAGACTGAAATAGTGAGTTAAAAATCATGGACTCCCGCCAGTTCAAACTCTCAGATAATAAAGATCGTGATTAACGCGTGTTGAGTATCTACTGTATGAAGCGCCCTGCCAGGGGTTTATGGGAATCATGATTTCCCACAGCGCTTAGGGAAGCGGTGGTATTTCCATTTGGCAGATGAGAAGACAGGCTCGCAGAAATGGGTACAACTTGTTCAGGTTACCCGCCTGAATGGCACCCTGAGTTTGGACCCAGACGGTTCGCATCCTAAAGCCTGCGTGCCCTGCGCTCAGACGCCTGGCTACGCCTCTCTCACGGCTCCTCTTTGCCCCGGAGGGTTGGAAAGTGCGTCTGTGCGCTCTATCCCCGGGGCTGAGAAAAGAGCCCCCGCCTGTGTCCTGAGGGCGTGGAGGCAGCGCCAGCACTTGCTGCCAGAACTTGGGAGGAAGCGAGCCGTGGAGAGCCTCGGCTCCGTCCGCCCGCTTCTGGAAGCCGGCACTGTGCGGGCATGCGCTGTGCGTTCAAGGGCCCGCTGATGCCCTTGAGTGTGGGCCGGGGCACAGCGCCCACCAGGTTGCCTCAGCCCGCTGCGGTCAGCACCGCGGTGAGCGACAGGCCCACAGCCCAGGCCTCGCTGAGCGGCGCGTAGGTCGCTGCTCGGGTGGAAAAGTCGAAATCCTGCACCAGCCGCCCTCTGGCCTCAGTCACGCGGAGGGCGTGCGGCCCGCTCGGTTCCGGTGGGAACGCAGGGCTTCTGAGGCCACGCAGCATGGCCTTCCTAGTCTCAGTAAAGGGCGCGGCTCTGCGCGTAGTGTTCTTGAGAGGAACTCTGAAAAGCACCAGCTGAAGGCGGGCGTTCAAGGGAAAGGTCACTCACTGGCCGGCTTCTGAGCTAGCAGGGCAGGGGTATCAGAAGTTCCCGGGCCGTCGTTCACTTCACGGCGCCAGTGGGTGCACGCTCAGGGTTGGGGGCGCAGATCACTTTGGTTTGCTCACTTGAGCCTTCTTTTCTTCCTAAAGGACCCCGAGTCAGCCAGGCCCGGCTGCCTGATGGGTCTGCGTCCCGCGCCCCGTGACCTCAGGGTGCACAGCGCTCGGGGCCAGGCTCCGGCGCGCAGGGAAGGCGGGTGCGCATCAGACCGGGACTGGACTGCAGTCTGAGCTGCGTGTCAGGGGCACGCGGCTGAAGGCAGGCAGGGGCGGGCAGAAAGCGCTTCCCGAGGAGGCAGGGATCCAGCGTGTCTCAGGGGCGGGGTGAGGAACAGAATAACCTTGCGAAGAACCAGGGAGCAGTGGCCTTATTAGAAGAAAATGAGGCGACAATACACCGTTGGGTCCAGTCACCACTGGAAGTTTATTGCTGTGTTTGTAACGTTGTCATGGTATGTCTCACTTTGCAGTGAATGCATAGAGGAGTATTTCAGTCAAGCTTTTCCTTGTTTAAATGGTTTCTTCTGCTCAAGAGCAGTACTTTGATAAAATACTTGCTTATGAATATGAAGTGCTTAGATTTATCGGTACCGTATATTAGGCTCTTTTGGTTTAATGAAGAATGATCTGACTGACATTTCTTTGTGAGAAGTACTGATTACACCTTTAAGGCCCCCAATCATTACAATTTTTTTAGAAAAGATTTTGTGTGTATGCCGGTGAGGGGCGGGGTGGGGGGGGGGAGGCATTTTTAAAACCTTAATGGAATTTGTTACAATGTTGCTTCTGTTTAAAGTTTTGGTTATTTTGGCCAGGAGGCATGCCTCTTGGCTCCCCAGCCAGGGATGGAACCCTCGCTCCTTGCATCAGAAGGCAGAGTTCTAACCACTGGACTCACAGGAAGGTCCCTGTGCAATTTTTAAAGTGTATTTATTTTTCTGGCTTCTTTGGGTCTTCTGCAGTGCCCAGGATCTCTGGTCTTCGTGGTGGCATGCGGGATCTTTAGGTGGGGCCTACGGAATCTCGTTCCCTGACCAGGGATCAAACCTGGGCCCCCTGCATCAGGAGCATGGAGTCTTAGCCAGCAGACCCCCAGGGACGTACGTCCCTGCTGCGTGTTCATATTGAGCGGCCGTGGCAGGGCAGACGTGTAGGAGTTTCAGACGCCAGTGGAACATGGCTTCAGCTCTGCTGAGTCACACCTGAAGGAATTTTTATCTACCAGACGCACATTTGAAGTGGCAGCGGGTCCAGGAAAGGTGTAAGTACTAACTACTGAATGAGAGGAGGTAGAAAGATCAGGTTACTCCAGTTGTTTCAGGCGGCTGTGGATTCAAGCCCGATGGATGACTCATCATTGTGACCGCTGGTCAAAGAGGGACAGGACCGGTAAACAGCTGAAAAGTCGCTTAGAAGGATTTCTGTCTGCGAAGCCTCAGCTCTTGACGTTGCTGGGCGCCTTCTCTTTCTTTTGGGTAAAATAGAAGTGCAGGCAGCAGGGGGATGAGAAAGGGATTGGTGGAGAGAAAAGGGGGGGAAAGAAAGACATGGATGTCACTCCAACTGATCAATCTGTGTGTGTCTCCGTGAGTGTTCCGGCCAGGGCATTGAAAAAAAGGATGCTTTGGCCTCCTGCCTCTCATCCTGCCTCAGCTTCAAGCCTCAGACCCAAGAATCAGCCATCCAAATGGCAGTACATTTAAAAGGTGAAAATGAGGGACATCCCTGGTGGTCCAGTGGCTGAGAGTCCAAGCTCCAAACTCAGGGGGCCTGGCTTTGACCCCCTGGTCCTAGAATTAGATTCCACATGCTGCAACTAAAGTGTCTGTGTGCCACACCTAACACCTGGCACAGCCAAAGAAATATTTTTTAAAAAATGAAAATGATTTTAAAAAGTCATCATTTCATTCAGAAGCTTCTATAGAATTCTAAGGTCTACAGATAAAAACGATAAAAATATAATTTGATCTTTCGATGAAATACGTGTGGGGTGTGAGACATGAAAATCCACACGCATGCAGTTCTTAAAATATCCTATTTTGATCAGTCTATTTTGTCAGATGGATGCAAAAATGAAAGAATAAGGGATTGGGTAACAAAAAAGATTTTGCCTCAGCAAGACCACGAGTTGCTGCTTTTATTTCTGTATCTGGATGAGCAAGGGGAATTTCAAGTGATTTCAACACGGGATGAAACGTAATCCCTCCAGCCAGGGCCAGGCTCACTCGAGCGTGCTGGGTAAAGCTCTGTCATGCCAGGCCCTGGGGCACGGCTCCTGGGGCCGGCCAGGCAGCCTCAAAAAGGTAGATTTCCCCTACATTTACCAGCTTGCTGCAGCTGAGGGAGATTTCCTTTTATCCAGTTTTACATGCAACAGAAGAAACCTTAGGCAGAAACTAAGTTGAGGAAAATACACAATGAAAAATATTAAAACACGCCCAGAAGATTCTGCATTTTTATCCACATGTTCAAAGTCATATGAAAGGGAATACTGCACTGACTGACGTTAGACACCTCTGTGCTATTTTATGTCATTGACTCTTTTGAAGCCCCTGATGCTGGGAAAGACCGAAGGCGAAAGGAGAAGGGGGCGGCAGAGGATGAGATGGCTCAGTGGCATCACTGACTCAATGGACATGAGTTTGCGCGAACTCCGGGAGACAGTGGTGAACAGAGGAGCCTGGTGTGCTGCTTTGTGTGGGGTCACAGAGAGTCTAACAGGACTTAGCCACCGAACAACAACTCCCCTGAAACACTGTCACTAACAGGGCAAACAACGAGTGTTAACTTGTCCGAGTTCCCTCCTCTGGTATACGAGAGGTTTGGAGAGCTCTGGCTCCAAAGCTCACACCACTACCCCTGGCTGCCGTGGGACCCCTAGGAGTCAAGATCACTCTAGCCCGAGATATCCGTTCTCCATCCCTGTGATTCACTCCCTATGCACGCCGCCAGTGACAGGCTTTACACGATCTCTCTAACAAACTGTACTAAGTTTTCAAACTCGGGAGCAAGTCAGTTTCTTCTGAGCTGAAATGGCAATAACAACTCACTTCACAGGATTTTATACAGCACAGACACATTTGAGTATCTGAGTATTTGTCAGTGACATGTGAACATTGAGTATACTTAACGCCTCCAACAGCTTGGACTAATGTCAGACTTCTTACTGAGGACAGAGCTCTGCAAGCATCTCAGGGATAAGTCCCGGGGGCTTCCTGGGGTCATCGGGCCAGAGCCTAGACTTCAGCCGGCTTGTTGCACAGTGGGCCTCTGGCCACTAGAGGCCGACGTGGCTTCACGCAGAGCCTACAGGAAATCACTGCCCCCCCTCCCCCCTCCGGAGAGCTGAGACCAGGCTGTCCACTGCATCCAAAAGACGGTTTCCACAAGCATCAGACTCGTTCCAGAGACACGTGGTAAAGAGCCAAGGAAACATGCAAACCAAGGCACCCTCCAGGAGCAGTGTTAGTTGCTCAGTCATGTCTGACTCTGCGACCCCGTGGACGGTAGCCCGCCAGGCTCCTCTGTTCAAGGGATTCTCCGGGCAAGAACACTGGGGTGGGTTGCCACACCCTCCTCCAGAGGATCTTCCTGATCCAGGGATCAAACCTGGGTCTCCTGCATTGCAGCCAGATTCTTTACCACCTGACCTACAGGAAAGATACAAGACACCCCCCAGGATGCATTAAAGCATGCGTTTAGACCTGGAGTCATCCTGCCATGTACCAGCATCCTTGTCCACACACAGGAGGGAACTCAAACTTCATTTAGTTTAATCATATCATTAAACACCTTGCAGGAGGACTTCCCTGGTGGTCCAGGGGTTAAGAATATCTTTGCCTTGCGATGCCTGGGACACGGGTTCGATCCCTGGTCCAGAGAGATTCCACATGCCGCAGATCAAGTGAGTGTATGCGCCACACCTAGTGAAGGCCTGGCGCCCTAGAGCCGGTGCTCCACGAGCAGAGAAGCCGCCCACCGCAATGAGAAGCCCGCACACCACAGTGAAGAGTAGCTCCTGCTTGCCGGCAACTAGAGAGAGACCCTCACGCGGCAGTGAGGACACAGGGCAGCCAAAAATAGGTGAATAAAAAGCAAACCAAAGACGCTCTGCACAAGGAAGCCAGAGGTGCGCCCCGCGGCCCCAGCTGCACACTGGAACTGGCTTGGTCCAGGGCATTCCGCACTGGGCTCCCAGCTTCTCCATTAGACCGGCCTCCTCTTAGGGAGCCTCTGGGCGGTCCCTCTGCATGTATTCACTCTTTCACACCCAGAGTGGCAGGCATCTCCCAAGAACCCGGTGAGGCAGGTACTGAGGTTCCGATGTTACAGCTGGAGAAACAGAGGCATGAAGGGTTGACGGTACCCTGCCCCAGAAACACGCATGTTCCCCTGAGAAAAGACAGCAGAAAACGGGGTGCAGAGTCAGTCCTTCCAGAGTCTAACCAAGGAGGTACCCCGAGGAAGGAAGGATGGAAAGCCTCTTAAAAGAAGCTCTTTGGGAGCCAGGCTTTGAAAAATGATGAGGATTTTGCCCTCAGGAAAAAACATAAGGGGCGGGGGGCGGGGGGCGGGTAGGGGATGGGCAAGAATGTCTCAGGTAGAAGCAGCTGCCTTTGTCAAGGTCTGGCCGCCAGAAGGCATGTGGCATGTTCCAGAATGTTCTTCATGCCTGCAGGTCGGGGTTCTCCAAGAGCCCCAGTGGGAGGTTCGGCAAGAGGAGCAAGCGGACGACGTCTTGAAGAAGGACTCTAAGGAACATCTGTGAAGAGAGGTAGCGCTGGTATCTGCCCTTTGCTTTAGAAAACAGACTCAGACAGCAATCAGAGGTGGGAGCTGCCGGATACAGAGACTCGTTGAAAAGATGCTCCTCTGCTCCGGGTAAGGTATGCTGCGGCTCTTTGTGGAAATGTTAGAGGCACCAGGCTGTGAACACAAGCCCCTGATCCCTTAGACCCGGCGCTCGGGTGGGTCGAGGCAGGCGGCGCGCAGTGATACGACCGAGGGGCTTGCCTGGTGCGCCCAGCGGTTACGCGTCTGCCCGCCAATGCAGGGGACACGGTTCCCTGCCCGGTCTGGGAGGACCCCACGGGCCCAGGGTCGGTAAGCCCCGGGGCACAACTCCTGAGCCTGCCTCTGAGCCTGCGGTCCGCGGCGGCGAAGCAGGCACAGCGAGAAGCCCGCACGACCCGCAGAGCGAGCCCCCGTGACCAGCGCCTAGCACCGCCACAGGCAGAGATGTGCGTTAGACACGGCCTCTAAAGAGTGATAATCATATGACCGAGCGAGGGAGAGAATGCTTACAGAAGCTTGAAAATGCGGTGGAGGATTACTGAGAGGGAAGCCGTCAAGGGCTTTCTCAACCGGTTACGTCTCCCGAGACCCGAAGGCTGACCGGGGCCGGCCTCCAGGAGACCTGCAGGGAAGGCACCGGCGTCAAAGGGAGAATTACCCGCGCATCCCGAGCAGGAGGGAGCTTCCCGTCCTCAAGACGCTGCTGGAGAGAGCCTGGTGTCGCATTCAGGCTGTGGCTGGGTGGTTCGGCGAAGGGCGGAAGGAATCAGGTGTGCTCTGCTCTGGATGCTTTCGGAAGGTAGGCGCGAGCTGAGGCTTCCAGCTCACAATGCGGGAGGCCTGGGCTCCGCGTCTGGTCAGGGCGCCAGCTCCCACCTACTGCAACGGAAGAGTCCGCACTCCACAGCGAAGACGGACGATCTCACATGCCACCAGATGAAAAGATAAATGTTTAGCTTCTGGGGGGAAAATATGTCCGCAAAGCCACGCTTCAAGAGAGTTTTAAGGAGAAAAGTCTGTCTATGTGAGCGAGAAGGTGCAGCCAAATAAATGAATAAATACTGTTTAGAAGGAAAGAAAGTGAGGCAAGTCCATGCCTGGTTATTTTGTCGATGGCACTGTGACCCTACTTTGGTGTGTAGTAGGGTTTAGATGGATGTTTAGAAACATCCACACAGTGACCTCTTCTGCAGCGTGTATCACGGGCTCAGGATAACTCTGCCTGAGCTTTCAATTCTGGGACGTTGTTGAAACGCTTGGGGTCACTGGCTCTGCACCTCAGGCCGGCCTGCAGGAGCATCACGGTCCAGGGGGTCAGTTTCGATTCTGGACATCCCTGGACACCAGGGCTGCTTTCTTCCTCCCTCCCTAACAATAAGGCTCTGTGAGGACAGGAAGCTGAGCTTTCTTTGCACTGCTGACCACAGACAACGGGCTGACAGCCACTCTGACAGACGTCAGTGTGTGACGGGCACTTCCATACAGGTAACCAAGGGTGGCTCCTTCCAGACAAAGATGACCAAGATATCAGTCACAGAGCCGGCCCTGCTTTCTGACAGAACCCGATTCCAGAACAAACGACGCCTCAGTGAATCCTTCCCCAAACTAACCAACCCAAGGCCTATGGCTGCAAAGCCCTCCTAACACGTCCATTTTGAGGTGCCTGTTGCAACAAGCCGATAAACCCGGCTCTGGTGACTCCAGGTGTTGTTCTGGTGGTCTTTGGCTAAAGGATAGCAACCCTGCAAAGAGGAAGCACCGGAAAAATTTTCAGCTCAAGAGTGACATGTCAGGGTCTACATTTTTCAAGTGAGCAATCAAGCCCCTATGCACAGATGGGTCTATGGGGGCAAGACCAGAAACAAACAAAAAAATCTAGATGATGGAACACCTGAATTAAAAGTGGCAGTGGGCATGGAGCACAGAGAACGCCTCTGAAGACCAGGACAGAGGGCTTGGGGTGGGGAGACGGTGGTAAGGCTGGTGAGCCCCGGAAAGAGGGAGAGACCGCAAAGCAGCCCTCCCAGCCAGGAGGAGAGTGAACACACAGGAGACACGGAACATCCGTGCCTGCAGACGCTGGGTGTAACATGAAGGGAATTGAAGGGAAAGTTGTTCTGTTGTGTCTGACTTTTTGCGACCCCGTGGACTATACAGCCCACGGAATTCTCCAGGCCAGAATACTGGAGTGGGTTCCTTTCTCCAGGGGATCTTCCCGACCCAGGGATCGAACAGGGGTCTCCTGCATTGCAGGCGGATCTTTACCGGCTGAGCTACCGGGTAACACGGGAGACGGCGAGTGTGGTTTAGACGTGCTGAGTTGAGTGTGGAGCACAGAAGCAGGGAGCAAGCGGTGGGGAGAAAGAAGCTGAAAGGGAAAGCTGGGGCTCAACCACAAGGCCTCGGCTTAGATCAGTGACCCTCTTCAAAGTTAACAGAAAAGAGGCCTGGAGAAGAAGGAAGGAAAGGAAACATAAACCCCCCAGGGGTCGGGAGAGTTCCTCTGCCTTAGTCCTAAGGGCACCTGAAAGGGTCCCCTTGTCCACGTCCAAGTGCAGGCCCCCTTTGATCCTGCTGGTCAGGACTGCTGGAGTGGACTTAGGGTGCTTCAGAAAATCACCCCGTTCTGCATTTCCCATCTTGGACAAATGTGCATCATGCAGGAAGGGTTTCAATGTATTCATTTTATTCTACCTGTACCCGCACCTCCCTTTCCACATGACTGCCTCCTGATCTCACTTTAAGATCCTGGTCACGGGCCACTGTCTCTGTGAAAGCCCCTCTGTCTGTGCACCGTGTCCCGGCCGTCTCCTCCCCGCCGCCGCTCTCAGCTGGCGCATCGCCGGCTATCACCGCGGCGTCTGTTACTGATTGCCGTGAGGACCACTGCTGAGAACAGCGGCGCGCTCTGACACTGAACTGGGTGCTCTGCACAGAGCAACTCATTTCATCCCCACAAAACCCACCACACTGGAGGCCACAGTCGTTTCCACTTTACAGAGGAGAGAACTGAAGTTCAGAAAGGTTAAGTGACTCGCCCAATGTTGCAGAGCTGGGAATTGGCTGAGCTGGGATTCAAACTGAATTATTTGAATATAAAAGCCATCAGTTCAGTTCAGTTTCAGTTCAGTCGCTCAGATTCTCTGTGACCCCATGAACCGCAGCACGCCAGGCCTCCCTGTCCATCGCCAACTCCCCGAGTTTACTCAAACTCATGTCCATTGAGTCGGTGATGCCATCCAACCATCTCATCCTCTGTCATCCCCTTCTCCTCCTGCCTTAATAAAAGCCATACTTTTTAATTACATTTTCAAAAATTGTATATGGGGATATAGCTGATTAACAATGCTGTGATAATTTCAGGTGAACAGTGAAGGGACTCAGCCACACGTATCCATACATCTGTTCTCCCCCAGCTCCCCTCCCATCCAGGCTGACACATCACGTTGAGCAGAGGCGCCTGTGCTGGGCAGCAAAGCCTTGTCAGTTATCCATTTCAACCCAGCGCCGTGCACAGCCATCACAAGTTCGTTCTCTCCCTCTGTGAGTCTCCAGCCATCCTCTCTCTCTATGCAACTCTGACAGGACTCAGCACCCTGCACAGTGGTTATTTACGTCCATGTCTCTGTTCTGCTGGAAGCTGGGCTCCCTGAAGGCCCGGGCTGCGTCTGCCCTGCAGTAATGTAGGTGCTCACCCCAGGTTACCAGGACGACAGGAGGGAGGCAGCTAGAGACAGAGACGAAGAGAAGGGCAGGCGGTGTGCAGCAGGGTGATCCCTGTTCACATCGATGCTTCCCTGACTTTTTCACAGAATGGCACCGGTTGTCTGACACACGGGCTAACTCGGAGGGGGTCTGGATTCTCGGAGAGGCACTCCAGGCTGGAGGGACGCGGACGACCATGATGAGGATCGTGTGTCTGGCCGCCTCTGTCCTCAGTCACTCTACTGCTGAAGGGGTCAACAGCTCTTGGTGTCGGTTGGACATTCTGTGCTTTATATGAACGGTTAACAAACTATTTCCTGAAGACTAGACATTAAGTGTTTTAGACTTCTGCGTTTCAAGGTCTCTGTCGCAACTGTTCAACTCTGGCATTGCAGGGTGGGCTTTGGCTAAAGGGAATCAATACTGCAGACAGAAAGCACTGGGAATTTCAAGCTGTAAGGTGGTGACACGCTAGGGTCTACAGTTTTATAAAATCGACAGCTATAGGTGACACACGCACAAATAAGTGTGGCCACGTTCCAATAAAGTTTTATTGACAAAAAAACAGGTCCCAGACTGTGGGCCATGTCTGCTGACCCCAGGTTTATGTGAATTTTATGTTTCAGAGCTTTGGGTCCATCTCCCCTCAGCCCAGCTTTTAAACTTTGATGAAGTTGTAGTGAAGGCAAAGCTTTACTTCTGCCCGCCTTATATTCTCAGCTGCAGCTCTTTTTTTTTAAGTACTTTATTACAGCATGCACTGCACTTTACTCAGGAGGAAACCGAACCAAAAGTAACTCAACGTGGTGGCTGAAAATTCCAATTTATGTAGCGTCTTCAGCAAGGATAATACATCTGTGGAGAAATGACCAGATGAACAAAAACTCAGGCTTCCGAGGTGGGCAAACTTTGGGAAGGTAAAGATATGTGGGCTGAGAGGAAAACCAATGGAGTAAAGTTTACCTGCAGATTCCTCGGGTGCCGTCTCTGGGCTGATAAGAGTCTGGCTTAGAAAGAGTAGAGTTTAAATCCTGCCTTTAGGCAGAAAAGCAGGAGCTTCTTCTGTGTTTGCTGCTTCTTTATGACCTTTAGCTCAAAATAATTTTCTGGTTTCCTTCAGTGTTCAACTTGCTAATTTGTAGTTTTATGAACGGTGCTTTTGCCGCCACATCTAAAAATCTTTGCCTAACTCAAGCCACAGTGATTGGTTTCCTGTATTTTCTTCTTCTGTGTTTCCATCTTCCCCACTTGGTAAAGGGTCATCCTTCTCAGGAGCCCCGTAAGGGTGAGTGTGTGTGTCCGTGCTAAGTCATCGCAGTCGTGTCTGACTCTTTGTGACCCCGTGGACTGTAGCCCGCCAGGCGCCTCTGTCCACGGGATTCTCTAGGCAAGAACACTGGAGATCTCCTAGACTAGAGATAGAACCCATGTCTCTTACGTCTCCTGCGTTGGCAGGTGAGCTCTTTACCACCAGCGCCACCTGCAAAGCCCGAAGAATGAATACATGAAAGACTGAAATGAAAGAATGGAAAACCCTCCGTTCTTTCCCATCTTGTCTCCAACTCTCTCTACTCAGGACTCTCTGGAACATGACGCTCAGCAGAGATTCTGCCAACTCCAGTCTGAGTTTTGAACCCCTAATTTTGCTTATTTGTTTGCTTATCACTTAGTGATTGCCAGCCTTTCAATGCTGCAACATTCTTTTCACAAGAAACACACAGTCCCTTTTTATTTGCACCTCCAACTTGTTTTAAAAACAACATCATAATTTTAAAATTAAATGTAAAATTAATTTTCATTGTAAAATTCTCAGCAACTCCATGAGTGAACTAGTGACTATCTGGTTTACTGCGGTCTGTCCTCTGTAAAGCACAGGATGGTTTAGACCAAACCTAAAGCTGCAGGGAGCGAGACTGTGGCTGAGACAGGAGTGCGCGTGTAAGCTGGGGCTCAGAATTTACCAGCTTCACCCTTGAGAATTTCCCTCCACAACTGCTCAGTTCTGTTATCCATTTGTTTAAAAAAAAATAATATGTGGTATTTTATGTAAATGCATATCTCATAAAATTGTGAAAAAGTGAGTTAATCAAGAGGGAATATAAGTGCTGAAAAGTTGGAACTAAGATTGAGTTTAGCAGCAAGAATGTTGTAGAAGGAGCCAAATTTAGCACTGAGCTCTCTGGAAGTCAAAATAATGACAAAGACCTCTTTGTTCTACACGACTCACAATGGCCATGAGATCACAGCATCCCAGTGGACAAGAGACATGACTCACAGTGTCCATGAGATCACAGAGATCCAGTGTACAAGGGACACAACTCACAGTGTCCATGAGATCTCAGCATCCCAGTGTACAAGGGACACGACTCACAGTGTCCATGAGATCACAGCATCCCAGTGTACAAGAGACACGATGCACAGTGTCCATGAGATCTCAGCATCCCAGTGTACAAGGGACACGAGTCACAGTGTCCATGAGATCACAGCATCCCAGTGTACAAGGGACACGACTCACAGTTTCCATGAGATCACAGCATCCCAGTGCACAGGAGACATGACTCAGAGTGTCCATGAGATCACAGCATCCCAGTGTACAAGGGACACGATTCATAGCCTCCATGAGGTCACAGAGACCCAGTGTAAAAGGGACACAACTCACAGTGTCCATGAGATCTCAGCATCCCAGTGCACAAGGGACACGACTCACAGCCTCCATGAGATCACAGCATCCCAGTGTACAAGAGACACGACTCACAGCCTCCATGAGATCACAGAGACCCAGTGTACAAGGGACACAACTCACAGTGTCCATGAGATCTCAGCATACCAGTGCACAAGGGACACGACTCACAGCCTCCATGAGATCACAGCATCCCAGTGTACAAGGGACACGACTCACAGCCTCCATGAGATCACAGCATCCCAGTGTACAAGAGACACGACTCACAGTGACCATGAGATCACAGCATCCCAGTGTACAAGGGACACGACTCACAGCCTCCATGAGATCACAGCATCCCAGTGCACAGGAGACACGATTCACAATGTCCATGAGATCACAGCATCCCAGTGTACAAGGGACACGACTCACAGCCTCCATGAGGTCACAGAGACCCAGTGTACAAGGGACACAACTCACAGTGTCCATGAGATCTCAGCATCCCAGTGCACAAGGGACACGACTCACAGCCTCCATGAGATCACAGCATCCCAGTGTACAAGAGACACGACTCACAGTGTCCATGAGATCACAGCATCCCAGTGTACAAGGGACACGACTCACAGCATCCATGAGATCACAATGACCCAGTGCACAGGAGACATGACGCACACTGTCCATGAGATCATAGCAGCCCAGTGTACAAGAGACACGACTCACAGTGTCCATGAGATGACAGCATCGCAGTGTACAAGGGACACGACTCACAGTGTCCATGAGATCACAGAGACCCAGTGTACAAGGGACACGACTCACAGTGTCCATGAGATCTCAGCATCCCAGTGCACAAGGGACACGACTCACAGTCTCCATGAGATCACAGCATCCCAGTGCACAAGGGACACGACTCACAGCCTCCATGAGATCACAGCATCCCAGTGCACAGGAGACACGATTCACAGTGTCCATGAGATCACAGCATCCCAGTGTACAAGGGACACGACTCACAGCCTCCATGAGATCACAGAGACCCAGTGTACAAGGGACACAACTCACAGCCTCCATGAGATCACAGCATCCCAGTGCACAGGAGACACGACTCACAGCCTCCATGAGATCACAGCATCCCAGTGTACAAGGGACACGACTCACAGTTTCCATGAGATCACAGCATCCCAGTGTACAAGGGACACGACTCACAGCCTCCATGAGATCACAGCATCCCAGTGCACAGGAGACACGATTCACAGTGTCCATGAGATCACAGCATCCCAGTGTACAAGGGACACGACTCACAGTGTCCATGAGATCACAGCATCCCAGTGTACAAGGGACACGACTCACAGCATCCATGAGATCACAATGACCCAGTGCACAGGAGACATGACGCACACTGTCCATGAGATCATAGCAGCCCAGTGTACAAGAGACATGACTCACAGTGTCCATGAGATGACAGCATCGCAGTGTACAAGGGACACGACTCACAGTGTCCATGAGATCTCAGCATCCCAGTGCACAGGAGACACGACTCACAGCCTCCATGAGATCACAGCATCCCAGTGTACTTGAGACACGACTCACAGCTTCCATGAGATCACAGAGACCCAGTGTACAAGAGACACGACTCACAGCTTCCATGAGATCACAGAGACCCAGTGTACAAGGGACACAACTCACAGTGTCCATGAGATCTCAGCATACCAGTGCACAAGGGACACGACTCACAGCCTCCATGAGATCACAGCATCCCAGTGTACAAGAGACACGACTCACAGCTTCCATGAGATCACAGAGACCCAGTGTACAAGGGACACAACTCACAGTGTCCATGAGATCTCAGCATACCAGTGCACAAGGGACACGACTCACAGCCTCCATGAGATCACAGCATCCCAGTGTACAAGGGACCCGACTCACAGCCTCCATGAGATCACAGCATCCCAGTGCACAGGAGACACGATTCACAGTGTCCATGAGATCACAGCATCCCAGTGTACAAGGGACACGACTCACAGCCTCCATGAGATCACAGAGACCCAGTGTACAAGGGACACAACTCACAGTGTCCATGAGATCTCAGCATCCCAGTGCACAAGGAACACGACTCACAGCCTCCATGAGATCACAGCATCCCAGTGTACAAGGGACACGACTCACAGTGTCCATGAGATCACAGCATCCCAGTGTACAAGGGACACGACTCACAGCATCCATGAGATCACAATGACCCAGTGCACAGGAGACATGACGCACACTGTCCATGAGATCATAGCAGCCCAGTGTACAAGAGACACGACTCACAGTGTCCATGAGATGACAGCATCGCAGTGTACAAGGGACACGACTCACAGTGTCCATGAGATCACAGAGACCCAGTGTACAAGGGACACGACTCACAGTGTCCATGAGATCTCAGCATCCCAGTGCACAAGGGACACGACTCACAGCGTCCATGAGATCACAATGACCCAGTGCACAGGAGACATGACTCAGAGTGTCCATGAGATCACAGCATCCCAGTGTACAAGGGACACGA